TCTTCTTATGTTCTGAAACTGCAGAGCAGGCAAGATGCAGCTCTGTGTGAATATAGACCACTGGTCATGCTGGCTGGAGCTGTCGGCAACTGGGGTCCTGCAACACCTGGAGGGCCACAGCTCCCCCACCTGTGTTTTAGGCCAAGGTGGCAGAACTTGGGAAAGGTAAGCTGCAGAAAGACTCTCCTAAGGCCCCACTTCACCCTTAGCCTTTGCTAAAGCGAGTCAGTCACTTGGAGCTCTCCATGGTGCTGGAGGAGACTCTTGAGAGTCCCATGGACTGCAAGAAGATCAAACGCATCCATTCTTAAGGAAATCAGCCCTGAGTGCTCACTGGAAGGACAGATCCTGAAGCTTTGGCCACCTCATGAGAAGAGAAGACTCCCTGGAAAAGACCCTGATGTTGGGAAAGATTGAGGGCACAAGAAGAAGGGGACGACAGAGGACGACATGGTTGGACAGTGTTCTCAAAGCTACCAGCATGAGTTTGACCAAACTGAGGGAGGCAGTGGAAGACAGGAGTGCCTGGCGTGCTCTGGTCCATGGGGTCACGAAGAGTCGGACACGACTAAACAACAACAACAACATGGTGCTGCAGCCACGGTGAGTCCCTGGCAAAAATCCCCCCAGAATTTCCCAACTAAAGCCATGAAGTGTAAGTTTTTTAAAATTAAAAAACAAAAACAAACACAACAAGCAGCTGATATTTCAAGGTCATAAAAGTAATTTTTTTTAGTTGTTGCTCCACCATTCAAACGGATCCACAATTAAAGAAGCAGCAAGGATTAAAAATGGAAAGGATGACCGCTGGATCATGCTCCATCTTTGCTAAGTGACATGGCCTCTGAGCTGCAGCGCACATGCTTTGCCAAACCACCATTTGCAACTTCTACTCATCCTTGCTGCTGCAAAATCACGGAGAGATGCCCTTTACTGCATGTTCTAACTGGAGGCAAGTGCTGCTCTTGATCAAAGGAGAAGCAAGTATTGCCTTGTATCATATCGTGCCAGCTTGCCATGAGCCATCTGACAGAATTCAAGGATGCACAATGGCCAGGACAGGTGAGGGACATCCCTTCTTTACCCTTGACAAGGAAGCCTTCATTGCACACCTGCAATTTTGTTTAGGTGCATGTAGAAATTACCCCCTTTGTGTTTTGTCCTAATTATATAAGCAAAAATGAAATGTGATCTGGAAAAACAAAACAAAAAAACCAAATGCTGTGTCAGGGAAAGAATGTGATTAATGGTTAATTAACAGCTGTCTTAATATTATCAATTGCTAAGTCACTCATGAAGAACAAAGATTCAATGATTTGGGGACCTAAATTAATCTTTCATGACAGGGCCTTGCGGCTTTGTCATAGCAAGCATCTGGCAATCTCAGTGGGAGGGAGAATAGAGAGTGAAAAAGGGCTAGGATGGTTTAGGGCTAGAGTAATACTTACAGCCAGATAGATCCACAAATCGGCTACGCCAGAATATTTGCACTAGCAACAATTTAGGGCAGAGGCAAATGCAGCATTTTTACGTGCACTGAAGGGAGCCTAAATTCACCTTTGCTGCCCTGAAAATACACATACATTCATCTGTCCCCGAGGGAGCTCTGGGAGGAGGAAGAAAGGTTAACCAATGTGTTGTGAAAAACCCAGTCATGGTAAGCACCTATAAGCACCTATAAGCCATTGCCTGTGACGTCGCCAATATGCCCCCCCCCCCAATTCCTGCAACGGTGTTCCAAGAACTGTGGAGGCCAGCTGAGAGGAGTTGGCCAAGGAGTCCAGCTTCAACTCACACTCCACACTGTGGAGGCCAGCTGAGAGGAGTTGGCCAAGGAGTCCAGCTTCAACTCACACCTCCATCTCATGCTCAGGCACTGCAACAGAAGACAAACAGAACTGTCCTACCTTACAGGGCTCTTGTAAGGTAGGGGAAGAGTTAGTGTGCATTGGCACTGCTGGGGAAACGTAGTTGTGAGGTCCTGGAAAAATAGTGGGTGGAGCAACAAATGCCAAAGGCCAGTTTCTACACAAATCTTCATCCTCCACCCAGACCAGCAACAAGCATTTATGTGTATTTAAGGGCATAGCCACCTGCCAACCTAGCAGTTCGAAAGCACGTCAAAGTGCAAGTAGATAAATAGGTACCGCTCCGGCGGGAAGGTAAGCGGCTTAGTCATGCTGGCCATGTGACCCGGAAGCTGTACGCTGGCTCCCTTGGCCAATAAAGCAATAAACCCCAGAGTCGGTCACGACTGGACCTAATGGTCAGGGGTCCCTTTACCTTTAAGGGCATAGTCCAGTCAGGCAAAACACCTATGATTTAGGGGAGTGCACTGGGTGCAGAGCCTTAGGGGTGCCGCAAGTATGATGTAGAATGGAAAGCAAATGGAACTTTGGTGTTGCACAGGGCACTGCTGAAATTTGCCACTGGCCAGAGGTTCCCGCCCCTGATATAGATACAGAACATGAATGCATGAAGCAGACAGACGGGAAACATTTCCAGATGGCACAAGCAAGAGTGAAAAGGAGCAAAACTTCTCCAAAAATAACTTGTTATCAAAAGTTCAGCATCTCAACTTAAAGGTGACTTTGAAAAGGAGGGAGGGGCTGAGAGCCCTCAGAGGTTTTTTTGACTGGTGTGTCCCCCCTTCTCAAAGACCTGCTTTGATGTTATGTAACCATTTCTTTCTTCCCAGGCAGTCGGGGAATCAGATGAAGCTGCTTCTGTGTTAAGAAGCCAAGAACATTATTAAAGGAACACTTCAGTAATATTTTATATAAAATTCTGTTTGTGATTTATTAATAGCTCCATGCGAGAGAGTCACGCTTATGATTTAGACAACGGATGCACGAGCCAGGTTTGGAAATCAAAATCCAAACAAAGGCAGGGACTTAAATCTAAGGAAAGATTTAAAAAAAGAGTATGATGGGAGTTTAATGTGTACAGCAAATAAGCAAAGACGTCAAGTCAAGACAACACAGGCCAACCACGGGCTCGTCTTCAGGATTAAACTGCTTCAATTAAAGTAGACAAAACAGGTTTACGAAAAGCTCCTTGGAACTTCTCTGATGTCCTGAAATTAAAACAAAAGGTAGAACTTACAACTCAAAACGCTTCCGACTGTCTTTCTGTTAAAAAGCATAGCAGAGGAAAAGAGCTAGCTAGGATTTCAAACACAAGGGGGAAATGAACGTGGCTTATTCACTTCAGCTTTTGACAAAATGGTCTCTAAAGCAGCTTGCACCATGGCTGGTGTCAAGGGTCAGAAAGGTCGGGCAGTTGCTGAGGGTGCAAGACCCAAACAGGGGGCACCACTGGCAAGAGCTCCCTAAGCCTGCTTGCTTGTTCACCTGCCTCTCACTCTACCTCAGACAATGGCAGTGGTGGTAGTGATGATGAGTCGTAGGTTGCAATAGCTATTTGTGCACTGGCAATCTGCTTGGCAAGCAAATGGTTTTAGCAATGAAGAGGAAGAAGAGGAGCAGGAGATGAGGAGGAGGTTGACTTGCTTTGGAAGGGGGCCTCACGAAGAAACAGGTGTGTGGTTTGTCCCTTGAGGCTCAGGTAACCTTAGTGGCTAGGAGTGACCCTGACCAGCTATGGCTAACATGCCAGCTATGACCATTCTTGGACAGGGACAGCCTTTGCCCCTCAGCAGAGCTGAGAGAGGGAAAGGAGGGCGTTTTGGGGGGCGTGGGGTGTGTGTGGCTCATTGGTTTGAGCTGTAAAGACAGCAGCAGCCTCCAGGTGGCAGTGAGAAGGGGCTGAATTGGACATGCTTGAGGATTATTCCTATTAGAAACTAGGAATGGGATTTATTTGCTTTCTGAAGCAGGAAAGGTGGGGCAGAATGGAGAGGGAATCAGAATATGCTGAATAGGAAAGGAAAAACACAGATTTAAAAAAAGAGAAAAGAATTTGTGTAGACTGTACCTCTCCTGGCTCTCGCTCACCTCTGGTTGTGGAAAAGGCTAGACTGAAAAAACGCAGATTTACAGAGACGTGCAAATTTATCATTATGTGACCGGGATAAATTAATCAGTGGCAGAGTATCTGCTTGGCATGAATAAGATCCCTGGTTCAATCCAGTTTTTAAAAAATCCAATTGCCTTCTAGATTTTGCATTGTTTTCTTTCTTTTTGTTTAATGTATCTGTTTCTTTATATACTGTAAGTCACTTAGAGTCACCAGTAAATGTAATAAAATAATCCCAGTGGCTTCCTCAGATAAGGCTGGGAATACCCCTTGCCTGAAACACTTGGAGAAGCCACTGGCAGTCAGTGTAGACAATGCCGAGCTAGATGGACCAGTGGCCTCACTTGCCATAAAGCAGCTTCTTCTGGCGCTAACATCACAGTGATTTCCCACGGAAAGAGAGACAGTAAAGAGGGGAGCCAGCAGGGCAGGTATCCAAGGTGCCCCTCAAACGCATCAGGTGCCCTTTTCGAAGCTGGTGTTCTCCTGCCTGATACGAGAGAACTGCGCCACTTTTGCTGAACGTCGAGCAGCTGACAGCGCTGCTCCCGGGGAAGAAAAGAATTGCGTTGGGGGGAAAGTCCCTGGGACTGCGCTGCCAGCTCAGGACGGCGCGCCTCTCAGCCGTGCCTTCCTGGTCCCAGTGAAGCGACCTTCAGGCTTCTCCGCCCTGGCGGAGCCTGGATGGCACCCTCCACCTCCCTCCCGCCTAAGCGGCCGGGGATGCCCCGAAGCCAGCGAGCTGCGCTGTGCGGAGAGCAGCGCGGGAGCCTGGGGCGCCTGCTGCCCTCTCTCAATCTCTCTCTCGAGCGCAGATTGGCCAGCCCGGGAGGCTCTTCCCTCTCGCCAACCAACCGGCTTTCCGTCCGTGCGCGCTGGCCCCGCCTTCCCCCCGCGCTTGCCCGCCGCCGAGGAGCATGCCGCGGCAGTCGCAGTAGCGCCGGCGCTGGAGGCGGCCGTCCGTTCGTCGGGGGGCCAGGCGGCGGACAGGCGGGTCCTTCTCCTCCTCCTCCTCCTTCGCCATGGGCTCGCCGACGCGGCTGCCGCTGCTGCTCCTTCTGCTGGGCTGGGCTCTGGCCGGCAGCATCGCGGAGGCAGCGGGGTCGTCTTCGAGACGCCGCCGCCCGTCCTTCCACGGCCACGTGCCGGAGAACTGGCCGGCGGGGACGCGGGTGGGCGGCCTGAGCATCCCCCTGACGCGGCTGGCGCGGCCGGAGCCGTGGTGCGCCAAGGTGCGCGGGCGGCGCTGGCAGCTGGAGCTGCTGGGCGAGGCGCACGGGCACTTCCAGGCGGCGCTGCAGGCGCGCTCGGGACAGGTGTGGCTGCGCACCCGGCGGCCCCTGGACCGCGAGGCCCGCCCGCGCTACGCCCTGCGCCTGGCCCTGCGCTGCCACCGCCGCGCCGCCCCCGCCGAGCTGGCCGCGCTCAGCATCGCCGTGCTGGACGCCAACGACAACGCGCCCCGCTTCGCCAACCTGGGGCCGGCGCCCTCGTCGTCGGTGCGGCGGCTCCGCGTGGCCGAGACGCTGGCGCTGCGGGCGCCCGTGTGGCAGGCGCGGGCCCAGGACGCTGACGCGGGCGCCAACGCCGAGCTGCGCTACTTCGCCCGCCCGCCCAGCGCCCACTTCTTCGTGGTGCCGCGCAGCGGGCGCGTCGTCCTGGTCCGCTCCCTGCTCCACCTGCGCGCCCCGCTCCCGCTCCGCCTCTTCGCCCGCGACCGCGGCCGGCCCGCGCTCCTCAGCGCCCCGCTCGACCTCGAGGTCCTGCCCGAGCCCGTCCAGCTGCCGCCGCCCCCCGACGACGCCCCGCTCCGACGACGACGCGCCCTGCCCCCGCAGGAGCCCCCGCTGGCGCTGGCGCTGCCCGAGGACGCCCGGCCCGGCACCCTCCTGGCCACTCTCCGCCCCGCCGCCCGCTTCGCCGCGCCCCGCTTCCAGCTCGTGTCTCCCCCCGCCGGGGAGGCCCCCGTCCGCCTGGACGCCGACACCGGAGAGCTCACCTTGGCCCGCGGCCTGGACCGCGAGGCCGCCGCCCGCTGGGAGGTCGTCTGCCGCGTCCAGGACAGGACAGGTAGGCGCTGACCCGACGGCGCGGCGGGCGAAGGCCTGATTCCGAAGGGACGGGGGAGCGGAGCAAAAAGAGTGGGAAAATCACCCCTCTAGCAGTCACCCCAGGGGGTGCAGCTTCCCGCCTTCATGTGCTTGCTGCCTTGGAGCCCAGCTCTTCAGCCCACTTTGGCTTCCAGATCTAAGGAGGGCAGCTCATAGCCCGTGCAAAATCTTAGGACAAGGAGCTGAGGGCAGGGCAGAGGTAGAGCGGCAGGGTGTGGGGGGCTGAGAGAGAAGCAGCCCTTCCCTTCCTCTGCTGTTGTGGCCTGATAATGTGGTGGTCACTGTTTATCCTTTAAGGTGGCCTACATGGTTCTCCCCATTTCATCCTCCCAACAGGTGGGATCAGGTTGAGTGACAGCGGCTGGCCTGAGGTGGTGATAGTGTTTGAACCCTGAGCCTTCTAGACTGGGGTGGGGCACCTGTGACCCTTCAGGTGGTATTTAACCAGAACTCCCATCAGTGGGGTCAATGGGAAGGATGGGAGCAACGTCTGGAGGGCCCCCACAGGTTCCCCATCCCTGGCTTTAACCACTACTGCACGCTGTCTCACCTATGCCACACTGGCTCAGTGATGTGGGGCCAGAAAGCTCTGTCCATTTCCATTTAGGATTATGCATATGGCACACTTAGACTGTCTTCACACCTCCCCCTGTCTGTGCATTCGCTGCTTTCCCAGAGTTGGGTTTTTAATCCATGTTCATACATTATCCAAAATGCAGATGTATCTTGTATTTCATCCTAGTGCGTGATGCTGCCGTTTCTCAAACCAGTTTCACCCCTTAAGATGTTCCTAATTCCTAACAGGTCTCTAGGCATCGTGGGAACACCCTTGCACAGGGTAAATGCAATTCTCTGTCTGTCAACCAAAGGCCAGTCTGCTCTAAGGCAGTAACCTGAACTCCTTAAGTCTGGTTAGAATTGGTGGGGTTTCTTTGAGCTAAATTCTGGCCTGTTTTGAAAGGTCAACAGGGCCTGTCACATCTTCTGCAACAGAAAATCTAGCACCATGCCTCTCTGGAACTGCCCAAAGGAATCAATTATCAAACTTCCCAGGACTGCCCCAAGACAGTTTGCTGCTTAAGGGAGAGGTGGTCTTGGCAACACAACCTCCACAGCATCTAATAACAGCAGGCTGGTTGAGGAGGAATTGCTTAGGGAACACCTGTGGCCAGCCGGCTAGTTTAGGTGGATACTGCCCACCCCTTCCTACAGTAGGGCCGGCTCCCAAATTTCCTGCTTTTGGAAAATGTTTGTCCTACCAAATGGCATGGATTTGGTTGAGCCTCCAGCAGGGAAGCAGAATCTCGTAGTTCTGAGCTACTAAGATGGAGCTGGGGGAGCCTATGACCCTTCAGGTATTGCTGAAATACAACTCCCCTCTTTCCTTGCTACTGGCTGGGGCTGGTGGGAGTTGGAATCCAACAACATCTGGAGGGCCACAAGATTTCCCCCCCCCCGCACTAAGGAAAGCAGTTCTGTACTATGAGTTTGGGTAATTTTAACTGTTTTAGCTCTGCCTCCTCTCCAGGCCCTCCCCCCTCCAAATAATAATCCTGGGATTTTAGTTCTAGAGAATTGCATCTTATTGCAGAACCACAGTGTCCCAGGTTTCACTGCAAACGTACTCTCACATCCCACCTTTCTTCCAAGGGACAAGTGGCAGATTCAATGCTCTCTCCCCATGCCCACCATCCCAATTACATCCTTACAAAAATCTTGTCAAGTAGGTTAGGTTGGGAGATAGTGACTGGCTTAAGGGCATGCAGTGAGCTTTGTGGCTGAGTCAAGATTTGAACCCCAGTCTTACCCCTTTTGCATCCAAGAGTGCATGCAGTGGGGAATTTTTTTGAGGACTGGCTTACACGTGACATACTGCTCTGGTTATGAATGTCATGTGGGTTGGTGGAAGGAAATCCCATTGCAGAACCTTTCCATGTTCATATATTGCCTGGAATTTGTTTTCAAACTGTGATATAATGCCTCTTGCAAGCTCTCTGGTTTCTGCATTGCTGAAATGTTCCCTGTATGCAAGGTCCATGACCTTAGCTCTGCCTAGTTTTGTCTCTGGCCACGCCCACTGGAATACAGTGGTACCTCGAGTTACAAACGCCTCAGGTTACAAACGCTTCATGTTACAAACTCTGCCAACCTGGAAGAGTTACCTTGAGTTGAGAACTTTGCCCCAGGATGAGAACGGAAATTGTGTGCTGGCAGCGCAGCAGCAGCAAGAGGCCCGATTAGCGAAAGCACACCTCTAGTTAAGAACAGTTTCAGGTTAAGAACGGACCTCTGGAACAAATTAAGTTCATAACTAGAGGTACCACTGTACAGCCCTTTGCAAGTGAATATGGCTCTCCAACCCTGATGGAATGGCCCTGAGGAAACGAGGTGGCTTCTTTAAAGCTGTTTCTTCTGCATTATTTGTGATTGTGTGTCAGAGCATGGATGTGCCTATTCAGCACATCCTGTTTTTTCTCACGACAGAGCCACTGGGTGGAATTGCACCCTAAGCGTGGACACGTAGTGCAGTTCTGGAGGGAAACAGTTGTCATGAACCTGAAGCAAGGGGCAGCCTCCTTCCTTACAGACTCAGCTTCCTGCACAGAACTCCTAGTTCCCTGTGGTTCTCTAATAACATCATTGTCGCCTGGCAGAGAGAGCACTGTTGGAGGTGCAGTCTGTGTAGATTGGGGAAGGCACTTGGAATGAATGAGCTTCTGGAAGGCAGCCCTAGAGGCAGTTTGGCAATCGGCCCAATGGAATGGGCTCCGCTGTCCAGTCTCCCCATCAGATGTAGCCACGTGGAAGTAGCAGCTGATGGAATTTAGAATCGCTGTGTTCATGTGCATAGAAATGTAATACTTCCAGAATTTTTTTGACATTTTAAGGGGTAAAAGTCTTGTTTCCTCCTATTCTCCCAGAGGACAAAAATGAAAATGTTGTGGGAAGTTGGACTATATATGCACTATTTCCTTAACAAACCTAACCCCACTTTCGACAACATAAAATGCATCATTTGTAACTTAGATCACACATACAGTTGTACGATTTGGCTTGTCTATGAAATGTACAGAGAAATCCTGTGCATGTTTACTCAGAAGCAGGCTCAATGCTTCATACTTCACGTTTTGAGTGAGGAAAACTATATATCTATATATATCTGTATATATCTATATATCTATGCAGGTTTTGGTGTCCTCGGGTGTCTTCCCGTGTAAAAGTTGGGGTGTCTAGGCGACGTTTCGACGAGGTCTCACTCGTCATCTTCAGGCTGGTGCTTTCGGCTTCTTGTTACTGGAACAGAGCAGGATCTCAGTGTTTGAGTTCCTATAAATACTGTTGAGGGGGTGTGGTGTATAGCCTCCAATGTTCTGGGCAGAGAGGAAGTTCCCAGGCTAGTGTGCCTTTTCTTCTTTTGTTCCTTAATTACTTGAGGGATATCTTGAGTGATTTCTTGAGTGATATCCTGAGTACCACTTAGGTGGGTCATTAGGTGTGGATTAGTTGCTAAAGCCTTCGTGTCTTGACCTCTTGAACTTTGTGAAGAGTTTTTCTGAGAAGATGGCTGTACTGCATTTAGTTGTGCTTTGGCTTGGCTTCGTGTATAGGGGCGAGCTGTGGTTTTGTGTCCTGTGCCAGCCAGATCTGTGTAGGGATTGCAGGGGGGTGCAGCATCCGGAGGTGCCACCATGGTTTGGCTACTGGATGGTGTCTGTAATTTATCTGTGGAGAGGGTCTGGGTTTGGGTCTGGTGTGGTTGATTGGTGATGGCGTTCTGTGTGCCTCTGGATCTGGTGTCGGTTTTTGTGGGGAGGGCTAATTTCCAGATGTCTGGCAGGCGGGATGTGTCGTCACGCTTGTTCATGTTGTGAGGGTGTTTCTCTATCTCGATGGCTTCCATGATTATTCTCTTGTGGTGATGTTCCATGTTAGAGAGCAATTTGGAATCTGCAAAATTAATTTCGTGTCCTGTTTCTTTCATGTGTTGGAAAAGAGAGGAAGTTTTTTCTTCTTTTTTGACGGCATTCTTGTGTTCTGCGATACGTGCATTTATTCGTCTGTTTGTTTGTCCAATGTACGTGGCTGGGCAGACTTTGCAGGGTATTTCATAGACCCCTTGGTTTTCCAACTGGATTTTATCCTTGGGGTTTCTGAGGATATTGGCTATTTTTTGGTTGGTGCAAAAGGCTGTTTTGATATTGTGTTTATGGAGGATTTTGCTAATTTTATCTGTAGTGCCCTTGATATAAGGAAGGAGGGCCATGCCATTGTTTTCTTCTGTGTCTTGGTTTTTGGGGGGTGTTTCTTTTTGCATTAGCTTCGTAACCCTGTTTTGCTGGTATCCATTGGCGATTAACACATTGGAGAGATTCTGTAACTCAGTTGTCAAGTGGTCTTTGTCAGCCAGGCGTTTGGTTCTGGAGATGAGAGTCTTGGCTACGGAGTTTATTTGTGCAGGGTGGTGGTGTGATTGTGCATGTAAGTAGCGGTTGGTGTGTGTTTTTTTCCGGTAGATAGTGTGTCCTAGGGAGCCATCAGGTTTTTTGTAGATTAGGACGTCAAGGAAGGGAAGTTGGTTGTTGGCTTCTATTTCCATAGTGAATTGTATTTTGGGGTGTAGGCTGTTGAGATATATAGATATCTATATATCTATACACACACACACACACACACATGTTTTACTTGTGCCAAAGAAGAAATGATCTCTTAAGATTCCCCCCCCCCCCATGTTTACTCAGAAGCAGGCTCAATGCTTCATACTTCACGTTTTGAGTGAGGAAAACTATATATCTATATATATCTGTATATATCTATATATCTATATATCTATATATCTATACACACACACACACACACACATGTTTTACTTGTGCCAAAGAAGAAATGATCTCTTAAGATTCCCCCCCCCTAAGTTCTTAACATTTTAAGTGTTTCTGATGGACAAATAATAAAAGTAAA